TGAGATTTCCTGTGTGGTAAATATTCCCCTGAGAACTGTTACTTCTTGTGGAGTGGAGTAAATATGTCAATAGAGAACCAGTGGAGAACCATGAATGAGCAAGGATTATTACATAATACTCTGCTTCTTACTCTTTGGTTTCTATTTAGCATCATTTAGTGCCTGCAAAACATGATATCCATAATTTTGGTTTGACAATAAGCTATCAGAACACATCACGGCTTTTCCTTTGGGCTGAATCATGGACAGATACATATAAACATTTGTATCTTCGATATGTAATGGAAGGTGACTCATAGGAGGAAATTCTCATCCACAGAACTGGGAGCCGTCACTGTCAACAAGGCATAGTGACATAAAGTTGTCTTCACTTTCAGTTTCGATTGTAAGCCTGTGGCCTGGTGGCATCCGTACAGCTAGGTTTACTCTAAAGTTGTCCTAAAACAGATGATCTAACAGAGACTGACACATACCTTCATAATTGCCAATTAGTGCAGGATAGTATGAAATATGAGCCAATTGTCTGGGCCCCGAGGCTTCTCTAGCAACAGAATTGATGGTGCCAGTCAGAAAAGACTGCAGATTGGAGTGCCAGGAGGAGCCACAAGATCTCTGAGTCTGACTTCTTGAATCACATGGGACATAACTTTTGCCCTGTTATTTCTATCTTCATAATTCTATCTTCCTTCTCACAGACAAATGATTAGGCAAGAAGACAGAAAAAAGTGGATATAATGTTCAAAAATAAAAACAGATACAGTCTTTTGTGTAACAACACAAGAGCATGTGTTGTTGGTCTCCATACACAAGTCCCAAAGCCCAGTGGAGCAGCCCACTAGGTACATTTAGGCAGGTTTCTTTAATTCACATGTAGACACTGTTGGTCTGTAATGAAAATAGCCTGTCAAGAGTGTATCTAAACCCTGATAATGTCAAGAAATAATTGTCTGTGATGAGGTTTCATATGGAGTCCTTAATTCCTTAGATAAAGTAATTCTGTTTTTAAACATGGCTATTTCTTTGCTTAAGGCATATGTATGTAAAAGTTCACACATTTCCTCCATTTTTTTTCTTAAAGAACGTAGAAGTGGCTTTAATGGGATCTACATGGCACTTCCTGAAGGGCCAAAAATAAGGATTTTATTTTAGGTTTAATTTGATTACTCAGAAAATATTTTTCTGTAATAGAGTATTTATTTATAATTTCCTTTTCATTGGTTTTAAACTACTCTGCCATCAACAGTATGCACTCTTTGTTCTTGTCTAAAAGGAGGCCTTCTGTTTTCATTCTTACAATCTGAATCCTCATTTTTTTTTTGCAAAAGCATCACTGAGAAGAAAGAAATATTTTATCTTTATTGGAATATCCTGAGGGAGATGCCCATCTTTCAGTGTGCTGATAGGTGACAACTTTTCTCACCTATAGAGAACAACCTTTCATATGCAAGCTCTAATACAAGGTGATATAATGCTATAATGCAAGCTTCCCAGGGGAATAATCCATTTCCATTTGTAATTTTCAGTTAAATCACTAAGTTTTTCCCTGTGAGCTTTCCTGTGCCTACACAACCACTCTACCATCAAGTGATAGCTAGTGGACAAGAGGAGGACATGGTGAGCTTGGCCGTTCTACTGAAGCACAGATGCCTGATGTCATTTGAAATGCCCCGTGGTAACTGAAATATGCACATGGGACTGGCAGATACAGCACAAGACCTATGGGAGACTTGTGATCTTCTCCAAGGTGGATTGGATACGTTGGGATGTCTCAAATGATACAAGCTGCCAGTATTCATTCAGTGAAAGAAACCCACTTTGTCTAAAACTTAAAGCTCTCTCTTTCCCCTTTCTGGACACAGCCGCAGTCCCACGAGCCCAGACAGTGCCTTGAAAATGAATAAGACTGTAACACCAGAATTCATCATCTCTTTTTATTGGCATTTTTAACATCCAGACCTAAAACTGCAAGTGACAAGGAGACAACGGCTAAGCATAATATCAACATTTTGTTAACCGTGTTTGCAAAAGCAACGAGCCCCCTTCACCCCTTGCCCTCACTGCTGGAGCAGGAACTCCCTGGTGGCTGCAGCAGCCTGCATGGATGGGGGAAATAATCTTGCTGTGGCAGGAGCACGGCATCAGCCTCCTCTTTCCCTCAGCTTCCCGAGGGCAACCTGGGGGCAAGCAGGGCCTCTTAGGCTCCTACTGCTTGTGCAGCTGCCACTGCTGTCTGCTAGCTGCTCCCTAAAGCGTCAGATGTTGCCAGTGCTTGGAAATACTGCACTTTGCAAACTCTTCCCTCCCATTCTGATGTTTTCTGTTTGTGTTTGAACTGTATTGGCAGGTACTAAGTGTCCATGCTTTTGGTGAGCTGAAGGCTTTCTCCTATGGATGTAGGAATAGTGATGGTTGGATGGGTTGCCACTGAGATGTCAGTGTCTCTTCCCAACAAGCAAAGCAGGAACACTGGAAATCACTTATGATGCACATGGGAATTAAGCCCTAGCTTCTCTGTGCTGTGATGAGAATATGTTGGTGCATGATGCTGTTGAATTCTTAGTAAGCTAAGGGTATGACCGACAAACTCCAGTGCCAGGAGAGGACCAGCTGGACTAGAGAGCATGGAGCCAATAGAAGGCTGTTCTATGTTCTACCACTGCATGCAACACTGGAGCACACTGGTTTGTGCTCTACCTTTCTGCCAGGTAGAGCAGACGTGTACTGATACGCTCTTCTGAGTAGTGGTAGGGCGTGATGAAGTTTGAAGAAGTGCATGTAGAATAGAAATAATGGGAATAGAAATAATGGGAAAGTAAGAAAACTTACTGGCATCGTCCTTGGGTTTTGTTGAGTTTACACTTTCACCTTTCCAGTTGGCCAAACTGCTGTGGTAACTAATATCATGAAAAAAATGGTTGGGTTTGATGTAATGCTGAGGTTTTGGCCTTAATGTACAGCCTTGGCTTATCTAACTATTTGTATGGGGTCTTGCAAATCCCTAACAGATTGATGCCTCTTCAAAGCCATCTGGAAGATCTACCCACTCTTTTTTCCCTGCGCTTATAATTGGAACTGCTGGCTGCCCTCTGTATCAGAGCAGTACAAAGGCTGAGAAAACAGAGAGGTCTTACACTAAACCATTTGAAAGGGCAGCAGGAGACGTCATCCATTTTGTGTATAGATATGTTTAGATAGATGTGGTAAGCCATGAGAAGTGGATGCCTTGACAGGTTACTTTTCAAAGACTGCTGATTTGCAGTGACCTCTGACTGCTCTCAAAACAGCTGAATTCTGCAGACTCTGGTAATCTGAGATAGAAACTGTTTTGAAGTCGGCTGGGTGTAAAGAGTCTGTTGCTGCCCTGGGTGTCTCAGTATCACAAGGAAAAGGAGAGCTGGGGAAAAGGGCACTGTTGCTGGAAAGTCCCTTGTGCGGTTCTGTGTGGGACAACTTTTCACAACACAATGCTGGTGTGAAAACCATATACCTATGTGCTCAGGTGTTGTCAGTCCTCCCAAACCATCTAACATCTTCCAAATGTGTGTAAAAATGTCCTGTTCCCTGCTGTGTGCTGGAGGATCCTCATATAGATATATTTAACCCACAGAAGAGGAGGCTCAGGGGAGACCTTACTCTCTCTACAACTGCCTGAAAGGAGGTTGCAGCAAGGTGGGGGTTGGCCTCTTCTCCCAAGTAACAGCAATAGGACAAGAGATAATGACTTTAAGCTGCAGTAGGGGAGACTGAGGTTGTTAGGAAAAATTTCTTCTCAGCAAGAGTGTTTGGGCACTGGCACAGGCTGCCTGGGGAGATGGTGGAGTCCCTGTCCCTGGAGGTGTTCAAGAAATGTGGAGATGTGGCAATGAGGGACATATTTAGTGGGGTGTATTGGTGATTGGACAAAATGATTTTAGTGATCTTTTCCACCTCAATGATTCTATGATTCTATATTCCTGGGACAAGGAGGCTACAACAACAGTGTGAAACAGGGGGCAGCTGGGCTGGGCAGCATCATGCAACATCTCAGCTATTGGCTGGGCTGTGCACAGACAGAGCCAAATCCCACAAGTCTATGACCAAAGTGGGTCCAGCAAGGTTTTGCAAAGGCTTGATAAATGGGGCAGATTTAGGGCAAATTTGTACAAAATGTCTGACTGTGAAAGAGGGGCAAAGTTCAGCCACATGTGCCAGAGCATCATCCTGCGGAAGCTCTTTGTCTGAATGGCTGCAAGGTTCTCATTTTTAATGTAGGCAGAAGTTATATTTACAAATAATAATTTCAATTTCTAAGACTGTCCCATCATTTCAAAGGTCTTAACATTGCTTTCTGATTCATTTGGAGTGACATTACCACTGCATATTATTTTCATATGTCAGTAGTTCTACAGAAAAATGCTTAAGTGCCTAAATGAACCAAAAAGGATGACCATTAACGAAGCATCATGAGCAGTCTCAGATGATTAAAGGCCCCATTGCAACTGGACAAATGTTATCTCTGCAACAGTTGCTGTGCCTGGCTCAAGTAAACAATCTCTCGACAATCCAGTTTCGGATGTGGACTTCTAATTGGTGTGATTCAGCACAACACATTGGCTTTCCCAGCTGCTCTGATGTAGGGTTCTGGCCCATACCGCCCATGGTTTTATATACAGATCTGTATTTTCTTCTGCAGTAAGATCAGAATCATCTACAGCCACGTTTCAACAATACTTTGAACACTGACATTGAATTGAATGCAAAATGCTGCTTGAGTACATTAATATTGCTTTCCCTTGTTAGTCTAGGAATTATGTCAACATTAGATTTTAAAGTTAAGGCAAAGATATTTTTAGAAAAAAAATAACTGCACTGGGAATTTTCTTTGGCTTAAATTTATTCACCATTAATTTGGAAGGAAATATATGTTTTTTCAACACTGCTTTTGTGCACACATAATACAGATCAGATTTTAATATTCCCTATGTTTATTGAGAACATAGTTCAAAGATTTAAGTGGATTTCTAACTGAGTTGCCTACATCTTTTTTTTTTATATATATATATGTATGTATGTATGTATGTATGTATGTATATAAACATACATTAGCTATCGACAAGTTGAAAAGAATGTTTATTCAAATAAAGGTCACTTCTTTCATTCTGTTTCTGGAGCTGAAAAAGAAAAAGAATTCCAATTTTTAAAAAATAATGTGAATTACTTGCTGGCCTTCGAAGGGTGGTTTTAGTAAGCATATGGGGTTTATTCACATTTTGAAAGCAGCTGCTTTTATTACCTGAAAAGTACACATGAAACACTAGGATTTGGGCTGCTTTCTGTAGACAAAAGATGAAAAAATCCTTATGGCTTTTAAAATATTTCTTTTTTCTTCTGGTGATTTATCATATTATAAAAGCATCATCAACATTTAATCCTCACATTCTCCAGTGTATAACAAACATACGTGTTTGTTATTACAGACCAAACAAACACGCACCTTCACAGCCGTGATGCTCCTCAGAAAGAAACATATGGAGATACGCAAGACTTGTTAATTTGCTCTCAAAAGGATACAGATAAAAGCAGATGCTGGGGGGGCAATAAATTATACTTTTTGTACATTTTCTATAGTGGGTTTTTTCTGTAACCCTCCTAGTTGACACAGAATTTCCTTTGCAACATTATTTATCGCCAGCGACGTTGCTAAGCTGCCTGGGAGGGCAAATGGAAAACTTTGTGAAGCACACTTGGAGAGGGCTCTTTTAAACCAGATGATTTGTGAGTACGTCTTGGAGAGCAGGGAGTATATTTTAGATATGTTAGCTGTCTTGTAGTGGGCTTTTATGCAGTGAATGAGAGACTCTGGAAAATGTTCCTTATATAGGGAGTGTTACCAAGATAAATTTGAGTTTCTCACCAGTACAGGGGCTGTCATGTTTTCAGCATGAAGGAAGATCTTCAGCTTCTCTGCTTAAAGGCTACATCAATACTGGAAATGCTGGAAAACAACTGTTAATTTTGGGTTCGCTTCTTATAAGAGATTAACTTTTAGAGACCACCCACACCTCTCTTCAGATATCCAGCCACATGCTGGAGCACTGGAGGCATTGGAAACCATTAGTCACTTGTGCACATTTTAGGGCCTGAATGACTGGCACTGAGAGATTTTAATGGGAACTACCTCTAAGCCGGGTCTGATGGAAGTACTCACACCTACTGCTGCCTCGTGCCAGCTGTGGCATCACTTGGCATCTGAGAAAAGGTTTGTCTGTGGTGTGGCACTGCTGACCCACTGGTGCTGGCTGCCTCCTTAGTTTCACACTCTGGATTTTGGGGTTTGAACCTTTATCACATCTTCTGTTTGTCTTTTTGGAAGTGTATATTAAATGCTGCTTTAACACAGTGGTGGCAAGTTGGTGGTTTTGCCTTTTTTTGTGTTTTTCTTTTCAACTGTTCTTTCTTGAAATAAGGTCACTTTTAAATACACATATACGCACGCACAGTTCTGTGCACAGTGTAATTTTTAATATAAAGTGACCATTTGTATTTGAGCATCTGCAGCCAGCAAGAATCTAATGAAAACTGGCAATGTGTTTTTTTATGCATTGGTGATCACAGCATTGAGATCAGTTGTGCCCCAGCAAATCTGAACAAAAGTGTTCTGTGTATCTGGGTGAGTGTAAAGAATAGGTTTTGCAATAGTAATACATCTGCAGAAAAACAAATAGTAGGATAACAAAGAAAATGCCTAAGAAAAGCTATGGAAGCAGCTTTCTGGGAAGACTTGGCTGGCAGGAGGCAGAGATCTGCTAACATACAAGCAGAGGAGCCCTGTTTCTGTGTTGTCAGCCCTGTTTCTGTGTTGTCAAAGAGTGGCTGTGCAGCCAATGAGGGGCAGAAAATGGGAAATGCACATGTGGGTCTGAGAGCACAATCGGGACCTGTCTGCCTTGAGAAGGGAAGGTCCTGACTTGCTCTCAGCTACACCTTATGAATCACATCTATCTAGATTTAACCGAAATCTAAAAGCTTATGTTGCATTTGGATAATTTTTTGTTTTTCTAAAATGCATGGTGTGCACCTTTCATGCTAAGGCATATTTTGCAGTGCTCAGGAATGCCAAGATGGTATGCAGCTCCTTCCTGCAACTAAGGGCACCTCAGCAAACACTGCAGCAGAAAAGGTGAGTAGTGCTATGGTGAACAGGTGAACATGTGAACAAAAATCTTCCCCAGAGCCTTGCACAGCTCATGTTGATGGGAGGTTCATTGCTGACCTCAGTACCAGAAGTTTTAACTGCTGATATTGCCCTTAGAACCGATGGCAATCTGATGCAAGAGGTCCACTTTTTGTACTGGTGGGAAGGCATTGGAGAGGCTTAACACTTGACCAAGGAGAGGTCAAGTGTTTTGTTCCAGTTTTGTTCATTTTATCTCTGCTTTCAATTTTGTACGTGGAGGTTGGAGAGAGGAGGGAACAAAATCAACATAACATTTGACTTGGACAACACTCTGAATGACTGTTAGGTAACATATTGGTTTTGTGAAAATTATAGAGACAATCATACATAAGTTTAGGGTGGAAGGGACCTGTATAAGTCCCTTGCTAGTCCAACCCTATACTCAAAGCACTCAAATAAACTGAAAATAAATATTACCATGACAGGTCATCCAGAAATAAGATGGAATACCTACCTGTGATTGTAGACTTACAGTGGAATTGCAAATTTGGCCCAAGAATACTCATAAGTACATTCAGAAGTTACTCTTTGAGGCAGTATTTCCGCGTTTGTTAGGTGCAGAGTACTTCTGTAAGCATTGGAGGCAGCTGGTTACCCTGACAGACATTGACAGCAGAAGAGGTCCTAACAACACAATCTGTGGGGCAGAGCCAGAGAGCACACCAGGGGAAGGACAGACATGACACAATCTGAGTGAGTTGTTTGGACTGACTTTGTTTTTGGTGGAGAAAGAAAACTGCTTCCACAAAGTAAGTCACTTATGTCAAAGACTGGCACCTATAGAAGATGAGCCAAGCTGGCACCTAGACTTGCTTCTCCTCTTCTGATTGTGGAGGGCATTAAATAACTGGTTCAGAATAGATACCTAATCTTTATGAGGCTGAAGTCCAAGGGATGAATCCTGCCTTTTAGGCTTAAAGAGACGTTGAAGAAAGTTTTATCTTTCTCAGGGCAGCTGTGGATGGGGAATGAGACAGTGGACTTTTGAGTAATTCTCCCAGAAATGTGCAAAGCTGCAAAATTTCAGAACTTATTTGGGAATCCTCAGCCATCAATAACACAGGCAATAGCGAAATAACAGCAGGACGTTTTACTTTTAAACGCTTCTCATAAAAATGAAGGGAGCAGATTGTTTATATTAACCTTTCTGGGAAATGCAATCAAATTGTCCTTGAAAAATGTTAAAGAAGAAAAACACAAGCATGACTTTCAATAGCCCTTAACAATCTGTGAACCGGCCCGTTGCTAACTGTCACACACAATGTACATTTTGTTTAGTGATTTCTGTTACACTGCCACTCTCTATGAAAATGTTTAAAAGAATAATTCAAGCTGCATGATCCCAGGTGCATAAACACGCTCTCTTCAAACCAGCAGAGAAACTGCCGAGTCTAGCAGGATTGTCAGACCCACGGGTCAATTCAGGGACTAAGAAAATCATTTCCTATTTCCCTTCATGGATTTGGTGCATGCTGGGATCGGCCAGTCTAGAAAAATAGAAAGAAGCTGTGTCTTCTGCAACAAAAACAGAGCTGGGAAATGAAAGATGCCTCGAACCCTGGCCAATTCTGCCAAAGCAGGATGGGGAAAATGCTCAGTCCCTCCCAGCCGAGGCTCACAGCAGTTGTTTCTACTGCACTGTCTGTTCTGCAGAGCCATGTCCTGCTTTGCTGACAAGGGCAGGAGTGGGACTCTGGCCCTGCTCTGGGTGGTGGTGGTTAAAAGCTCACAGCCAGACTGGAAACTTCATCTGAAGTCCTTGTGCTCTTGGCTCCTGCATTGCTTTTTTCATGGCTCTTAACTGCTCTTCAGAAGCCTTCAAAGGCACCCAACCTTTCCACTGACAAAGCAAGTAGGCTTAAGTGGAATTTCAAGTCTTAGAGCACTGCTCAGTGCCCTCATAGGAATGTACATTTTTTCCTTTGACTGAAGCTTGGGGCTTCCCTTCTTAAGTGGGAGAAGTCTAAACAAGTCCCATTTGGACATTTTTGATAATGTTCAGGTGAGGTTATGGACAATCCTGCAGCACATAAAACTGGCCATTGTTGATCTCTGCCATATCATATTATATAATCTCTAAAATTCTTGATCTTTTCCTCATTCTTCCTCTGTTTTGTTGTTTTTTATTTGTTTGTTTGTTTGTTTGTTTTTCATGGCCAGTCTTCTTGCTCCTTGCCTTGCAGAGGCTTGGATATGCGAAGAAGTGAACAGTAGGAAAGCGTGGAAAATGCACAACTTGCAGTGATCCCTCAGTGAGGGTCAGAAGGGAAATCTGTAGCAAATCACAGTTTCATTTTTCCTTTTAACGCTCTGCAAAATGAGGTATGAAGGGTAGAAAAAAAGAAATGCCAAAACTAAGCAAAATTTTATATGTATATTATATCAAACACAGTAGCAAAGTCAGCAAGATAGAAAATACACTAGAAAAAGAGCAACTCATGAACCTAAGTAAAATGCTTCAATTTCAAAAATTCTGCAATGGAAAGGTTTCAGTTTTCCTTCATCTTGAGAGTTGTTTGTCCATCTCCTTGCAGTTCAGTACCGAACTCCAATTCAAATAGCACATAACCTCTTGGAAACCAGACACTCTCTCAGGAGAGGGAAAGAAATCCTGTGGTCTTTCATGAATGTTTGCATCATTGAGAAGGCCACAGAATAAAAGTATTTCCTGTGTGTAACATATAATCCATTCAAAATGAGATAAAACAGTTTCTTGTACGAATTAACAGGATACTTTTGGTTTCTATAGTATCCATGCTATTATGATTTTAATATAATCAAAAACTGCTTAAGCTTGAAGCATATTAGTGAGGATAAAATGAAACACGTTTGCAGAAATTGACCTATTTCAGATCAGCAAATGGAAAGCAGAGGAAACAAGTTTATCTGTTGCGTCTACTGTCCTCATCTGCTTTACACTGGCAAAACACAAACGTTGGAAAAGCAGCTTGAAAAACATTAAACATTTCCCCATATAAATACTTGACTGTTATGGGAAAAATCCCAAACCAGAGATTTATGGCTTGAATCCTCCTATCTGGAACTACTCAGGCTGGTGATATGTGAACTACAGGGGGTTTACATCTGTATTATCCTTTCAGAATATGCTTCCTGCAAGACCACATCTTCTATGGCATAATGGGAACGCTCAGTGAGATGGGGTAGGCAGAACATGGGACACAGACATGTAGTGAAATGCTGCACGCATACAAGGGTCTCACCAAACTACAAGTAATATGACAGTTCAGGGACATATTTAATGGCAGAAATATTTATTTCCTTGCTTGTTGGCCAACATCTGATTTTATTTTCAGTTTTAATTAATGAATAGTCCAACTTAAAAAGGAATCAATTTTTTCTGTAAAATACCCTCTCTGCTGAGCATCACATTTTCCTTTTCAGAACTCCTAGAAGTACAGTTTACAAGCTTTACTTCTCTCTCCATTTCATGTGCCTTTTAACACTAGTCATATTACACTGCTGGGGATCTGATCTGATTTGTTCATGCTGTGGCAAAAATTGGTAGGATCCACATAGAATTGATAATCCATTTCTTGATTGGTTTGCTTGTTTTCCCAAAACTAATTTTTCTTCTGAATTTTGGAAGAGCAGGAGCAAATTGAATTTGGGCTCCACTTGATCTAACCAAAAAGCCTTGGATTTTGATCCACACTCTTGATAAGAAAGAAAAGAAAAAGAAGCCAGCTTTGGGATGAGTACCTCCCCAGTTTACAGTGATCCAGCTCAGTGTTCCGTTTCAGCACAGGAGCGAACCACAAATGCTTGAGCTGCAAAAAGCTTTCTTAAAAATAAAGAAAACAGACACCCAGGCATGATGAAAACTACTCCAGTTGTCTTGGAAAGAAAGGGCTTTGTGGCCCCAAAGGATACTTGTGGATTTATTCTAAACCTTTATCAACTTGTTCTGCATGATTTAGCTGCAGTGGAAGCCTGATGTTGCTGCAGAGCCTATTACACCTACCTAAAGTGACTCTAGCACAGATAATATACTGCAACAATCATATTTTTCACAGAGTTTTACTGCTGTTGACAGCCACTGGATTGCAGGCTGTTGCCTCGACCCCATGTCATCTTAGTGCTGCCATCACACATAGCAGTAACCTGCTCTGTAGTGCTTTTGTGTGCATATGATCAAGAACAATGAGTGGTGGGAGGTGCATTGGTGTAACATGAACACAATCTCAGATTAATGATATTCTTGACTTCCACAGTTAGTCCTTTACAATTTATGATGATTTTGATTTATCTCCCATCTTTGTGCTTACTTTGGGGTTCCTGGCTACACTTTCAGGAGAAAAAAAAATTATGCAGAAAGAAATGTTGAGTTTTTTTCTTACTAATTTCTGTCACAAAACGGAACTGAGAGAGAAAAATCAGTAGCTTTCAAACACTATTATGTTGCTAGCGATAGCTCTCGTCGCATGACAGTTCTCAAACTGATAAGGTGTTCCAAACAGCCAAAAGAGGTTTTTCAGTGCCCAAGCTCTGTCTCTTCAGCTTGCACATGTTTTCAAACATAATTTCATGCCTGCTTTCTGACAGCTCATTAAACAAAGGCCTCTTGGTACATATAGTGCCCATCTTCCTGCTGAGAATGTAACATATTTATGGTGTTTGCAGATTGCTGGCTGTTTGCTCTCCTGCTTCGCAGTGTCCTGCCTGCCAAATGCTTATCAGTGTAGCAGAGGTGACAGTCTTCCCCATTTGTGTAGGTAGCAATGGTCTTGTGTTTGACCCGTGGAGGCAAGAAGCAATATGATTAGAAGAAGCTCTGCAAGCAATAGATAAAAGCAATCACGCAGGGAGAGACAGTGAGGAAGAGCTCAGGGGAGGAGGCTGATGTTGTGGAAGCTGATAGCTTGCATTCAGGGAAAGTGCTGGCAGTTAGTTAGCGAGACAGCTGGTTACATTCAGACCTTGTGGGATTTCAGCTTCAGACAAAGCAAACAACGATTCGGGAGCCCTGAGAAGCTATCTGGAATGACGTACAAGGGCAATCAAAGCTGCTCACTTCTAATTATCTGCCTCTCTCCTGCCATTAAACTATCATTATTATACATTCAAACCAATAAAGTTTAGTGAATTTAGCACCTTCTATTTTCTTTAAAAGCTGGTGCCAAAACTCTGTTTCCCTTCCTAATGGAACAGATGAAGACATCTTTAAGCCAGCCGCTACCATTCATCCATCTGTCCTCTGAGGGCAGCAGGGTACGAGGAGCAGGTTTCTGCCTGTACCACCACCAGCAGCTGAAGTATCTGTTCCACTTCACCAGAGTAACAAAAGAGCTAATTGGGTTTTGTTTTTTAGAGAGTTTTATTTTCTTTTTAACTTCTTGTCAAACCTATCACCAGTCAGTATCAAAAGAAAATGCAGTGGCAGCTCTGTTCAGCTGCCAAAACCTAATCAACACAGAGGAGCTTTCGAGTGGCTGTCAGGCAGGATTATGATATTAACCCTAACCACGTGCATGTTCCAGGAAAAGGAGCATCACTTTAACTAAAAGTCAGAGGGTGACAGGTAATGAAGGACAAATATTTTACAGCTCAAAGGATGTTTCTGTCCCCACATTAGGTGAGCTGTCTAATTACAGCTGAGAGAAGCAGCAGCACCTGTGCATGTTTGCTGCTATCTAACCACATCTCATACAAATAAACAGGTACCAAGTCACCCCCAGCACAAACATAAGGTTTCAAGAAACATTCAAGCCACGAGGGAGCAATGTTTGTAATTTAGTAGGCAGCTCTTCCTGCTCTGAGTCAGTAGTGAATCAAGAGTTTTAGGACCTTCCTCTGCCATGGAGGGTCACTTTGGGATTGGACACAAATTCAAGGCTCCACATAGTTTCTGCCATTAGTGACAAGGTGACGTTATTTATAGTATCAGTCAAGCTGAATGCTAGGTCTGACTCCCAAATGGAAAGATGGGTAACATGACTGGCTTGGCTGCAGATAAAATAATATGGGTAACATTCCTGGCTTGACTGCAGATAAAATAAGATGGGCTGGGATTCATCAGAGTAAATGCATCCTAAGTTGGACATCTGAAACAGAACAGAGGAATCATAGCCTATGTTTCTGAATATTGTGCCACTTCTTTCCATGTCTAAAGTTAGATAAACTGAATTCCATCTGCAAGGACTCCAAGCCCAGTATTCCAAGATAGGGATATCAACTTCTGCCTAACAAGTCCTGATGTACTGACAGCCTTAATGCTACAGTGATGGAAGTTTTATTGCCTCTCTATCCTGTCTATCAAGTGCTAAGCATCAGTGCTAGCCAGCCACCATTTGCTTTCCCTAAATAAATTCTGGAGATAGAATCTTTCTTTTCTGTCTTTTTTCATGGGTGCTCACAGTATATCATCTGGAGAGGAGCATTTCTTATCTCAACAAAACTGTTTACAGAAGGAAACAACCTTCCTGCATGTGAACTTCCTCCTCACATTTCAGGAAGGAAGATTTTCATAGATTACCTCACTAACAAATCCTCAAAGTTGAGGGTGAATCTATAATAATTGTGGTTTTCAGCTACTGTGCAAGACATGGGGAGGATTTGTTGCTCAAGTATCACAGAAAGCCTGGAAGAATGTCCTAGAGAAGTACTGTGATGCAGTACTGTGCAAAGCCAGTAAAATGGCTTTGGCTCACAAGGAGTCTTAAAACAATACTCTTGTTTTTAAGACATTAAATCTTACAGAATTTTCTCCATCTACAGACTGTGGTGCATCATGAATCCCAGTTTCTTTTGCAGGACCAAGTAGGGAGGGTCTGTTTTTAACATCTGGCCCAGGATCCTTTCTAGAGCGCTCTGAGTTGTCACTGAACTAAAGGTAAAGAAAATATGTTATTTTAGTGTATGTTTTTCCCTGTGTAATGCGCTACCACATTGGTCAATTTTGTTCTCTGTAATACATCAAAGCAATGGGAGTGCATTAAGAACCAAATGAGGGTCTTGGCCTCTCATCTTCGTTTTATCTCCCCCAATAATAATGAAGCTGGGTTACTTCCTAGAAAATAACAAATTGATATAAACAGCACTGGTTTGCCAGCTACTGTCATTGCTGATGGATAGTACTACAGCCTGAATGGGTTGTCCACACAGCTATTTGTCAGCACTGTCTGTGAGGAGCTCTGTGATAACACACTGTGCTAAATTCACTCTCGTGTCTACAAAGGAATAAAAATTGGCTCATTTGAGTCAATAGATGTCACACAGAGTAAACAACAACAAAAACAGGACACAGTTACATTGCAGCCTCACCAGAAAGATATCCTTACTGTGGAAAGAGT